GGAGAGTTGTTACCAGGTGAATAATTAGGAATATGAAGGAACTTCCTCAATTTCCTAGATAAAGGCTGTCTATGGAAATCCTACAGCTCACATACACTAAAATCTCACTAAAAGACTGGAGACTGTTCCATTTCCCCCAAGATCAGGCCCCTTCCTCTCTCTGCAGATCCCATCATCCTGAATATTCCCTTGCTCCATAGATTTGGATGTCACTGGGATTAGAGAGCTGGAAGGGAGTGTGGCCATGGTCTAATAAAAACCTCATCTTCCCTGAAGAGATCCTTCCTGTTTCTAGTCCCTTGTTTAAATTTGGGTTCTGGAACTGCATTAAATCTACTCTGAGATCTACAGATACAGACACAAGGATGCTGAGTTGCAGTTTTCTCAATGTGGACACAGCGGGAGGTGAGGAGTGCCCAGGACACTGCACACAGCTGGGACATTCTCCTGTGATCTGGTGGCAGAAGCCCCAGGACCACCCTGTCTGAGAACTCAACACCATGACCACCTGAAAGTGTTTTCAAAGACCCATGAGAGAAGGAATGATTTTGGAGACAATTCTCACCCTGTGTCATAGTGTCAGCTGAGGAAGCTCAGCTCACTGGTGAGAATCACTAAGGCTTATGTCAGAGGTCAGGGCACCCATCTGCATTAGGAAAGGGGAAGGGGGACACTGATGCTGCTCCCACATCTCTGTCCTAATGACATCTCTGTCTCCTTCTGGATTCAAGAGCCACTTCCCAGGATTTTATGACAAGGGAACCATCTCTGTGCAGAATTCCTGGAGGGACCGTCACACTCACCTGTGGCTTCACTGCTAGACCCACCACCAGGTCTCCCATGCCAGCTGCATCCAACAGAACATCGGTCAGCTCCCTGGGTTCAATGTGAGACAGCAGCAGTCAGGTGCTGGGACCCCGACATGAAGATGAAGCCACCCCCACCATAATGGGGACCAGCCCAGAAATGAGTGGAATTGCTGTGTCCCCTGGCATCTGAAGCATCACCGCACTCACTTTGTCAGTTGTATGAAGATGAGAAGATCATCTTTATATGACTAAAATCCCTCTGGTCATCTCTGTGGATCTGTGAACTCAGGGGAGATGCCCACCTTGTTCAGTGGGAGGCCTGAGTGCACCGTGGCTGGAACATCCTGCACAGAGTGGGGAACAGGAGGGCAGTTTGCGGGGTCACAGTCAGGAGGCAGGACAGACTGAGGCCTGAGGAAGAATCCTGCACCAAGCCCACCAGCGCCTCCCTGCCCATGTCAGACCAGAGACTCTCAGATGTCCCCGTGCACAGGGGTCACCTGGGATCCTGTCACACGTGGACTCTGACTCAGGGGGCTGGAGTGGGGCCTGGGACTCTGCATGTCTAAAAGGTGTCTTCTCCAAAACATCTACATATGAGCTTGAATGTCACCAAATATATAAAAGTGGTAGAAAATAAGAAGGAAAGTCATTAGCAAAGAAAAACCAAAGAGAAACCTCACACAGGTAGAACTGAGGAATTTTGATTGAAGAAGGATCCCTGGGTCCACGCAGGGAGAGGAGCAGAGAAGGCAAGTTAAAAGCCAGAGTCAGTTTGTTGATCCATTCAAGGAGTGAGCCGAGCTGGCCTCTATGGGACGCCGAGGGTTCAGACTCAGGGCTGGGTCCACGCAGGGAGAGGAGCAGAGAAGGCAGCTGAGAAGGTGGAAGAGGCTCCACTTTCTTCAGGAAAAACAAAAAACAAACAAACCTAAACCACAAATGAAACCAAACCTCCCTTGGCCCATTTTCCCCTCTGGCTCCTGCCCAATCTCCCCCCGGCTTCTCCTCCAGTCCCTTCTACAGTGAGGACGCTCCTCACCCTCTCCCCTCCTGTCTCTGACTCACGGCTGCCCTTGTCAGCCCTATGGTCTCGCTTTCCACTTCCCTTCTCTCCTATAAATGTCTCAAATAAATACTGAAACAGCTGTGTGAGAAAAGACACAGAATTACAAAATACCTGTTTTAGAAATTTTCAATAACATCCTCTACTTTTCTTGAACTTCTCTGACTCCACACTTCAGATGAAGTGAGCAGTGAGCTGATTCCCTTTTCTGATTGCTGCAGGGACTTTTCCTCCTCTTCCCTGGGTCTCCCCGAACTACCCAGTGACTCCAGCCTGTTTCTTTATCCCCCCAGAAATTCTCCTCTCTGCTCCCTGTGGGAGATCTCCTGAGAGATCCAGTGGGAACAGAGAGATCCATCTTCAAGAGCAGCCTGGGAAGTGGGATCATGGCCGAACTCTCCTGTTCTCAGCTAATGTGCATCTTAGTTCATGTGCAGTTTGTATAGGAGACACTCTCTCCCCTTAATGCAGGGTGAGTTGTGTGTC